GGTTTTACCTAGAAGGGGCCCGGGGGGAATTACGGGGATTTTCATTTTCTCCCAAAATTTTATCCTTTTTTCATTTTTTCATTTTAAAACAGTTTTGGTTTTTTTTGAGGGGGGTTCAGCCAAGGTTATTGTTATGGGTTGTGGGAGGGGCACCCAGCCTAACAAAGGGCCCCGGCCTATATGCCTGCCACCCCCTTCTTTGGGGGAAGAAGAAGCAGATTCATACAAACCAAAACCCCCGGGGGGGGTGTTTCCTTGTTGTTGCCCCCCCCCCCCCCCCCCCACAACCACAGTAGCGTAGAGATGGATGGATGGATGATTCAACCATTCCTTACCCTCACATGAATGAATAAATCACTGACAAATAAGGATGGATGAAGTGGATGGATGTATTTTTGATGAACGAACAGAAGGGTGAGTAGAATATCTCCTCCGCCTCCTCCTTTTCAACATCCTCACCATCTCGTGCAACAGCAGCAGTAGCACCAAGCAGGCCAAGGCCAAGGCCAACAGAGAGCAGAGAGTGAGACAGAGTGAGAAGAGAGTCAGAGAGAGCAAGGGTGGGGTGGTGGTGTGCTAGTAGTAGTATTAGCAGTAGTCGTAGTAGTAATTATAACAAATAGCAGATAGAAAGATTGATAGTAAGTAAGTAAGAAGTAGTAGTAGTAGTTGTAGAGATGATGATGATGCAGTAGTATTAGTAGTACTAGTTGTAGTAGTGTTCTCGGTGGCCAGCTAGTAGCTCAGTCCCCCCTCCCTCCCTCTCTCCGGTGGGTGGGTACCGGCCTCTCTATTCATCGACATCACCAGGACCCACAACGAGGAGGAGGAGTCGACGGGAATACTACCTTCTTACAACTACTACCTAACTACTACTACTACTACTCAGCCGACTTCCCCTTCCCCTCCTCTTTCCTTCCTACTCGTCTCTTGTTCTAGTTTCCTGAACTACTACTATTACTACTAAATTCTTACCGCCCCTCAACCCTCCCTCTCAGCTGGATTGGTTCCAACGGTGTGGTGCTACGGGATGCCGGTGAGCCTGTCTGAGCTGACTGTGCTGACTGTGAGGTGGTGTTGCCACTGGAGGGAGGAAGGAGGTTGCTTGCTGTCATCGATGCGGTGGTTCCGTCGCGTCAGTTGCCACATGGGTTTTTTGAGAGGCAATGTTGCATTCTATGCTGGGTTAGGCCACTTTTAGTCCAGCTTAATGTCTGCCTTGGCGAGGATTTCTCTCAGTGGGGTGCTGTGTGCGTTCCTTGCTCGTGCGAGTTGGTGCCTCAGACGCCAGGTTACGCTCGTATGAGATGAGAAACTATTGTTCAACTTTGGGTATGGGTTTCTGCCACAGGAGAATGGCTCGTGTTTGTGTGTGTTTGTGTGTGTCTCTGGGTAACTGTTGCAGCTGTGTACTGAAGAGAGTCGAGCTGTGTTGTGTAAATTGCAGATCGTGTTCTCTAGTAACGTGATTAGCTTCCATCGAAGTTCTACACTTCATTTCTCGTTCGCACGCTTGATTCGTTCGTCAAGTGGTTTGAGTGAATGGACGACAGAGTGACTGAATTGCTATTTGAATCTGGCGAGCCTCCAGTGCTGTGAAAGGGTGTCTCTATTTGGGATTTTGGATGTGCTTCGCAAACTCCCAATCGATTGATCGACGGTGTTGATGTGTAGCTTCATTGCGCCCACACTTGATTCATCCCAATGTCACTAATGCTGGCGCTCTTGACGAGCATGGCGCTTGTTGTATGAACATTAGCAAGCCAGACAGATATGATCGCCGCGGATTATTGTGTTCTTATGGTAGCAAGCTGTTCTAGAAAAATATTTCGTGCGTGGCGTAGTACGGGCATTGTTGATCTTCCTAGTGCTTGTAGAGTCATCCAGGAGGAGGTAGTGTGATCTTTGATCGTGTCTCTTTTCTGGTGATTCTAGATTACCCTCTCGCAGAATACTTGGTAGGTTACCAAGGCAGGAAAGACCCGTTTTCTGTCGACACTTGTGTAGTGAAAACGCTTCATGTTGTTCTCGAAAGAGCTTACTGATCCGAGATATGAAAGTTGCAGCGCAAGCTGAGCAGCTTTACTCATGTACAGCTTCCTCTGACACGAAAGTTTCTCTCTCAGGCATATAGTTGCACATGCATTCTGTCAAATACAATTGATGTTCTTTTTCCTGATTTGGCAGGGCAGTGAGCGCAGGACTCCAAAACATTTCCTCGTATCGACTAAAGAGTACTGTCGTATAGGAAGCCTGGAGCCCTTTTATCCTAATTTTAATTGTGGTAAGGAGAAGCGCTGCGATGGAGGCAGAAGGCTTAAAGAAGTAAGCTGCTCAGTTAGAAGGTAACGTGGGGAAATACACAATGAAAGGTATTACAGCGGACGTGACGTTGAATGGAACTGGATTCCATGACCACGACGATGACACAGAGTCTCCGTCTAAATTTGTCGTAGCTGCGGAAACTGTTGAGCTGGAAAAGCTGCAGCGGCGACTTTCGGTTCGCGACCTTGCCATTCAGTTTGAGAAGGGGCAAACTGCTGCCAAAGCGCTAGCTGCCAAATTAGCTGACGAAGCGGTACAACTTCCTTAATTCTTGCAACGTGATTTCTACTGGTCGTACACACCCTGAAGCATTGAAAATGATTCTGAGCGAAATTTTAGCAGGGAGTACTTGCTTGTGACGTCAGTATTCTTTTTCTTGCTCCTGGCATGATAGAACTCTGATTCTCATCCATCACCCTTTGGCACTTGCAGAAAAGCCCCAGTCCCGTGAAGGCCGAAAATGGACGTCGGATGTCCGGTGGCCATCAATGCTCACATGGTCACTCTCATGGTCATTCACATGGAAACAGTCCGGATTCCAAGGTCAAGAGTCCTAGCGACGGAGCACCATCATTCCGAAGTTCTCTGCGACGCACTAGCGGAAACATTCGAGAATGTGAAAGGGTGAGGGCAGTTTTCTTGTATATCTAAACATTCCACTGACCTTGAATAATTCCAATTGAGCTTCATTGGTTCAGGAGTTTTTCACAAAATTCTCTCAAAAATACAATGGCAGCTTTTTTGCTGGAATCCTTACAATGCATTCTGGCTGATCTAGAGCGCTGTGGAGTGTGTGTATGCCATTTGCTCCAAGAATTATTCTCTTCTGTCATTTCTGTTGGGGTTTGGATGGTACAAATCAAGCGTGATGATGCTTCTAGAGATATCAGGCTCGTGAACCACATTTTAGGTTTTGCAAAACATATTCCATCAGCTGCTTATTCGGAGCTGGTGAAATCGAATCTTTTTTCAGCACAAGGTGCAGGAAGTGATGGTTTTGGATAGGCCTGCTTTGACGAAGAAATTACGAGTTCTGCTGAGCGAGCTTGCCGGGCGTGTTGCAGGAAGAAACAAGGACGACGTTACAGAAGCTCTTGCAATTGTAAAGCTCTTTTGCCTCGATATCTGTTTCTAAAATAAGCCAATCTATTTTAGTGTTATTGTTAATAACAATGTGATAGTCTGTGCATGAGTTAGCTCTATCTGCAGTTACAAGCTTGTTGCACTATAATTAATCTTCCCTCCTACTGGTGGTTGCCGAAGCTATAAGAGGTTACAAGCTGTATGCATTCAATTCACTACTAAGCATTAATCATTGTTGTAAGCTGGAGAGCCTAACACATGAATGTCGAACTCGAGTGTCGTTTTCAATTGGCAGATTGAAGCGATGGAGCTGCAATGGTTACAGAAAGAAAATGAACTGGCTCAAGAAAAAGCTGATGTCAAAAAGGCGGCCTCATTGTTTCAACAGGTAACCGGAATATATTCTCTGCTCAGAACAACTGTTGAGTTTCTTCCATGAACCTTAGACATTGCAGAATTTTCCTTTTTTTTTCTTTTTGTCTTTTAATTTTCTGACGTCGATGATGGCAGGCATCAGATGAAGCACGGAAGATGGTGGAGGAAGCTCGAGCAAATGCAAAAGCTCAAGTAGAGGCAGCACAAGCCGCAGTTTTTCGGGTGGAAGCTGCTCTCGAAGAGCAAACGCAGTCTTTGAGCGTTGCAGAGAAGAAGGTATGTTCCATTTACCAAGGATGAATGACAGTCGGCCAAGTGTCATCTCTTGTTTTGTTCCATGGATGTGGCAAGTCTTATGTAAAGTTACGACATCCTCATGCTCTCTGCCCTGCGAGCAGCAACCAGCTTTAATATAATGGATTTTTCTCATGCATTTCATCACTTGCTTTAGGAATTTGCATGTGCCACATTAATCATGGTATTGCTGAAATCTAAGTTTTAGATGTTGCTTGGTATGTATGTATATGTATATATATATATATATATATATAGTTTTTTTTTCTGGGAACTTGTTTTCATTTTGATATCTTCGATCACAGGAGCTCGAGATGATGAGAAAAGACATTCATGAGGCCCGGAGAATAAAGATGCTTCATGAACCCAGTAAGGTGGGTCAAGATGACTGGAGCCCCCATTTCATTGACACGGAATTGTGTTCATGACCCCCTCATTAGCTTTTTCTGGCCCACGGATTCTCATTTTCATTTTTGCGCAGACTATGGATATGGAGTTTGAGATTGAAGGATTGCGGCAGGGTTTGTTGCAAAAAGCTGAAGAGCTTGTGCGACTGCGCAAAGAGGTAAGAATCAAAGAGTCCAGTAATTGTTTTCCTTATTTGATAATTGATGATTTCTTTTGTTGTGCTATAGGTGTGGAAGCTTGTGAGCAACCAAATGATAGTGATGATGCTGATGTTGATGGTCCAAAATTTGAGATGGTATATTTACAATTAATTCGTGCTAATAGTAATTGACTATCATAATGTAGAGAAGTGATTTTTTGGTACTCTCTTGCTCGATAAGAAGCTCAGTTCAGATCGAGCATGAATAATCTTTATCCCCATTCACAGTTGAACAGTGGACTATTCGGTAACAATAAAATATAATTGTGACACAGAATCGTTGTTGGTTTTCCAGTTGTTAACAGCAAAGAGGGCAGGCCAGATAGGCAACTACGAGCTACAAGGGGAAGAACGTCTCGGAGGTGTTTTGGCAATAACTCGAATTAATGAGAAGGTAGTGGATGTGAGCAAATGCACTATTCAATGGCACCGGATTGCGGCAGATGGAAGTAAAGGCGGACCTATCACTGGTAAACAAACGACACGATTGGATTTTTTCATGAAAACTCGAGATCTATATAGATTTGTGACAAAACAGGATATCTCTGAATTAGACCTCTGAGTGGCGTGTCCACGAACCTGGGAGCTGCATTAAGGAGAATTAATTGTCTGTTTTGTAGATGATCTTTTAAGGCTTATTCCGAGGCTCTCCCTTACGTACTTTTCTCAGTATCTTTAGTTGTAAGCGATGCATTGAAGCTAATGTCATTGGTTTCTTCAATGAACTGCGAAATCATTGCCAGCATGCTGTCTTACGTTTAAATTATGCATGTTTGTAGGTGCCACCAGGCCTCAGTATGCACCTGAGCCTCTTGATGTGGGTTGGCTGCTACGTGCAAATTTGAGCATGCCGGATGGAAAAAAAGAATCCATATTCACAACAGGACCCCTAGATGCTGGTGAGTTGACGGATTCTACGTGGGTTCATGGGCTAACGCATTTTCTTAAGTTGAAACATTTTTAGCTTTTTATTTGTGTAATTTCTTTGCGAATGTTGTCTGGAAGGACCAAAACTCAGCATCTTTTAATTGCAGCTCCTGGGCTTGGAAACTATGTGGAGGCACTGTTCAACAGAGGCAGTTCCGAGTTCAACGTAAGGGACATACCACTTCCTGTGAGATTGCTATGTATGAATATCCGGTATGTAGAAATAAGTCAGTGTATGGTGGTTCTTTGTTAAGCGTTTGAAGATTATACGTCCACTTACTGTTTCCCGGAATTTCATTGGATGGGCATGGTTCCGTTTATGTGGGAACAGACAAGGTTGGTTCAGCAAAATGGAGAGGTTTTGGAGAAGCCCCTTCTTCTTGTGATGCTTATTGATCGCACACGAATCAAGCTTTACAAAGGCCGGAAATCAGTAGCCAAGGAGGAGTATACTTCAACAATCCAGGTGGATTTCCGCAAAATGTTGCCACGCAGCCATCATCACTTCTAGTACGCAAGAAGTTGAGACGATGAAGTCCTAGAGTGTAGTTCTATCGATATGCATATTTCTCAGCATGATATGTAATCAGAGTTTCAGTAAAGTGCTCACGATTTCATCCTATTAGTAGTAATTTTTTGTTAAATCTATGCAGCTTTGTGGAGCACGTGGTGGTGGTCAAGCAGCCTCCCGAGCCTTGTACTGGGTAGCCAACAAGAGTCACAGTTTGATGCTTGTGTTGGAGTCTGAAAGAGAACGAAATGCTGCAATTTTGCTTGCAAGGCGTTTCGCTCGAGATCAAAATGTATGTGAACTGCCTCTTGACACAAATCCTGGTTTAAGTAGAAACGAAGCAATGAGTCTCGCGTCCATTCGTGAGCTCAGTATACCTCAGCTTACAATTAATCTGCTTATTTGATTTTCTTTTTTGCTGCAGTTGCTGCTTCTTTGTACTGAAAGTATTGCCTCTGATACAGGTTACACTCTTTGGACCTGATGATGGGATTTCCATTTCGAGAATTCCCTCAAGCGTAACTTGATGTCCTATCCCACCCGAGCAGGATGCGCATAGATGTGAGAATATAGCCAGGTGATAACTGGATGAGTTTTGCAAACACCCCTTGCAACTCGTTCAACATTCTTTTGCTATTGGACTGGAACCATATAGCAGTACGTCGAAGAAGACCTTCAGTATTCTCTTGACTCCTTCATGCGACACTCCAAAATGTGGTTCACGATCTGTGTTCCAAAAGGTAGTGGTCAAATAACCTGCACTTCAGTTTATCATCTGAAAGATAGTTCAGTAACAAAAACATTTACTATGGCTCTTACTTCTCCAAGTTTATCTCATCACTGACACAAATGCCCAGAACACAATTCTTGATTGAAATTTACCTTCAACATTATAAGTTCAAATTAAAAATATCTGTTATACTGTAGACTTGATATGACCAAATTTTCGGCTAGCGCTTGAAATAGCCAACCGTTCTTAAACTCATGTTATGATATTCATCTTCAGATGTATGATTGAATGTTATAGACAGAACCTTCAGAAGAATCATAATCATATTCTTGAGATGTCAGTTCCAGTTTGAAAAAATGTGATAAAAATTCAACACCTATAACTCTCTACTCTCACACCAACATCAGTTTCACTATGAGTTGTTGCTTGCTCGAAATATTTTCCTTGACTACACCGTAAACTTTCTGGGTTACCCAGTACGTGAGATATACATCAATCGGTGCAAATGCATGTGAAACAGTAACACCGTAAACTTTGTAACACCGTAATCTGAAGAGAGCCCTGAGATGTGAGGCTAAGTTTCCCCGACTCCCCTCGCGACTAAACCTGCACCCGAGACTTAGTCAAGGCGTTTACATTGATATTTGACGATGATAGATTATGCTAAAATGGAGAATGCAAGATTTGCGGAGTTGGGTAACAATGTTAGTAAGCGAAGGTCAACTTGGAGAGCGGGAAGCATCGACGAACGACGTTTCTAGGATCGGAAGAAGTTGTTAAGCGATTCAAGGCTAACCGAAGAATACAAAATAGCAAAGTGTGTCGAGGGGAATCGGGGCATTGACATTGCAACGATTAGTTGGAGGCAACCCTCTGAAAATATATCGAGCATGGGTGCGGGATTGGCTGGGAGGTCGGGGGGCAAGAGGGATGCAGGGGGCGCGGGAGACGATGTGGGTCCGGAAGAATGTGCAGTAGGTGCCGATAGCTTGCGCTTTGTCGTATTTGGCAGTTTGAGAGTCCAAAATAGGGTTTCCTGTGAGCTATATGGTTTGAATACGGAATATAATGCGCCACATTGGATGAAATGGGGTTGGTTGCTTCTACCGCATCTGATGGTCAATCGAAGGAGTTAACAAGCCACTTCGTCGACGAAGAAAACTTCATTCTGCGGTATGGCGTGCAATGATTGACCAGTGTGTGTAGATGATGGCGGTCGATGACGACGAAAGTTGGGTAGTGGATAGTTTGTTGTTGGGTCCTGCTGCTCTTCAGCATGCCAGGACCCCACGGTATCTAAAGGGGGATTCCTACATTCGTCTCGATAGGCCACCAGCTTAGGTTATGTTTATAAAAGCGCAAAGGGTCCATACCACAAGGTCTCAGTCCATATACAGTCAGGGTTCATTCACGCATTCACGCCCCGAGTCTTCCTCAGGTCTTTCTTGCGTTCGGCTGCTGGACGGAGAGGAGAAGTGACCCGCTGCTCCGCCGTTATTGGTACGATGGTGACGATGAATTTATTCGCATTTGTGGGAATGTGAGGTTCACTTCATGAAGGTCCAAATCAGTCGTGAGGAGTTGTCAGTACGAGGTGGCCAAATGGGTTCATGTCACGAATTTTAGTTGGACCTTCAAGCGTTTTTTTGTCAATGAGTCTGTTTTGTGTTGGAACAGAGAAAAACCGAATCCCGCGCACGAATTGTGCCGATCTTGTATTCGTCGAAACAAATTTGGATTGTGTTCGCAGTAGCGTGCTCCCCTTGTGAGAAGATCAATTGACTTGTCTAGTGGAACCTTGGAGAATTGCAACCCTTAAAAGCGAATCTATGCAGGTTTCTTTGTTTCTGTCGCTGGAGCTGAAACGCAGTGCAGTGCTTCTTTCAGATAGTGGCCGGAGAAGACTTGTGTGTAGCAATAACCTATTTTCACACACATCGGACAGGAATGTCCACAAATTGAAGAGGCGTTATCAGATTGATTATCTTTAAAAAAACACCTTACCACTCAGCTTCTGGAGCAGCAGTAGTCAAGAAGAGGACACAACTGATGTAGATTTCTCTTGTGTTTGTACAGATCAAGGACGAGAAGGCAAGAGGCAGGAAAGGAAATAGCTTCCTGTGGTGTCTCACTGTTGGGAAACGAGCAAGAATGGAAGCCAATGGGGCGGTCGTGGATTTGTCGCTGGACCACCTTCCCGAATGGACCAACGTGCGCGAGCTTCTGATTGCCATCGAGGAGCAGGTCGGGAGAGAAGTGCGCGACCAGATTGAAACCGCCCTGGACCGCGACCCCAACGAGATGATCAACGTGCGGAAGCTCCTGGGAGACATCCAGGATGAGCTCGGCGGCTCCTACTTCGATTCACTGCTCCATGACGAGGATGGAGATAGCGGTCTCACCAGCCAGGATTCTTGACCCACCATGCGAAGCTCATCTTCCATCGAGAACCTCATCTTGTGCGCCATTTCTCCTCTTCCTCCTTTTTCTTCCTTGCACTGTGCTCATGTTGGTAGAATCAACCCTGGCTCTTGACCTCTCTACCTTTGTCGACCATTCATCTTCAACGCCATTGACGCTCGTAGAAAACATCCACGGCATCGTCATAGCTCTAGTTTTGAGCGCTAGGGTGATTTTTCTAAGAATAGTCCCAGAATCTGATGCAGGAAAAAGAAAAAAACAACGACAGGGTTCAGTAAGATCACAAAGAGTCGACCCAAGTCTCGGTTAGAATTGCAAAAGGTGGGTCACCATTTGAGAGTTGTAGCATCATCCAAAGTCATAGTCGGAATTATAGCGACAGCAATGAGAGACTCACTGAACACTCTTGCACAGATGCATTTCGCGTCTTTTGTACAAAAAATCGAAGCCTGAAATCACACTCCGTGCATCGGTTTGTGTGATTTGACATGAATTTTCTATGCTAGATCTTGTGCACCGGAGCAGGCTGCTTGGGTGCCGACAGTGTCATTTGTAACGGGAATAGAATCTAGCAAACCAGCCGATGCACCACCGCAGTGTCTTATAACAGAAAACAAAAATAAACAAAAAATAAAACTTGACAAAAGTGGCATTTTGTCAGCATTTTTCATGAGTTTTTTTTTTGCTTCATTGCTGATGAAGGCATGACTTGCAGCTGATTATTCTCAGTTGGGCTAAAGGCCGCTTTGTGCTGCTTGTTTAGTGGTTTATGTCATCTGGTTTATATGATTCTAGTGTTTGGAAAGATGAATTTTGATTCTATTTTGATGGTTCTTTATCTCTTCCTGCAATGAATCTTTGTGTGGGACATTGTGCTTATGTTTTTGTTAATAACTTGTGCTTTTTATTGTACTTCTTCATTCTTTGGAGCAGATAATGGTTACTTTATGTAACTTATTGAGTATACTTAAAATTTTATAAAAGATTCTGTAAATAATATATATATATATATATATATATATACATAGTAAGATGATGTATTGAAAATTTTAATTTTTCCACTTGAATGTGATTTTTTCTTTTCTAAAGAGTGGAGCTCTCTTTTATATATATACATGTATTTTATTTATATACTCGGTTTTTAATTTTACATTCAAGTATGCTAGTCAAAATTTACACACAGCATGGAAATAAATTTTATGAATGTTATAAACCATATCTGAAGTATTACAATATCCCACTCAAAATTTTGTGATTTGTTCATTGTGATTTGTTTATTGTTATAATTCTTTAAAATGCAATATCAAAATTACGTAATTTTTTTTCGTAATTACAAATTAGAGTTGCAATACTTATATGAGATATTTTATTTATAATGATATTTATAAAATCATTCTAATGTTATGATTAAAAAAAAATGATTTAAATATATATATATATATATATATATATAAATATATTTGGTTTGACATTTAAATTTATCTATTTATATAATAGAATATTGTCTGTCTGTAATGGTGAAGCTAATCTATATATGTAATAGATTATAACATAATACAATCTAATTTGTTATAATTATAATCTTACTAGATGTATATAGTATCTTCCTATGTAGCTTCATCACATGAGTACATCCACCTAAATATTTTATTGATGGTATAAACACATCACATATATTGTATATGTATTACTTAATAGTAATATGTAACATAATATTACATAATGAATCATCCTAAACAAATACATTGTGTGTTTGTTTATCCTACACAAAACAAAGTATGGATGGAATCATGTGGAGTGTATGAGGTGCTCCTAGGGATGACTTGGGAGACATCTTAGATCCTAAAAAGGAAAAAGAGAATTTAAATTACTTAAACCAACTTGGTGTATCAAAGTTATATAGGCCATACTAATATAAATATAATAGAACATGGTGTCATGTAATTGTGTCTATTTCTAATAGCAAATCTACGCAAATATTGCCAAAGCAAGTAATTGTATGAAATTCAACTTTCGAGCTAAATAGAGAGGGAATAAAGAAGCTATGAACAGTACTACAAAAGAAAAACAATAAACAAACAACAACACAACAACAAATCACAAAACTAAAGATAAGTACTTTCTATTCTTTTACATTTTCTTTCACCTTGCATTTTAATCTTTTTTATTTTGCTTTATTTGTTAAAGACTCAAAAACCAAGAAATACAAAAAAAAATCAATAAATCAAATAAACTAAAAAAAATATAATCAAAAGAAAAATAATAAAAAATAAAAATTGATGCTTTGAATAAAAATAGAATAACATTGGGTATCAAGGACACAAATTAGAAGAAGATACATAAACTCATGGAATTTGTGTCGAAAGGAAAGTGAAAAAATAGAAGAAAGTATGTATATTCAAGGAAGAATTGGAATGACTATTGTCAAAGACTAGAAAACATAAGACTCTTGAAGCTAGACTAAAAGCAAGAAAAGAGTTGACAAGAGTGAGGATGGCTTCACTCTTGCCTCTATATATACTACTCAACTAAGAACTATGTGGCGGCATGCTATAGGACCTCTAATATGCGTCCAACTTGCAAGACACATGTCTAATTTGCAAAGCAAGTTCTCTAGGTGTGCGCCATATGTCCAACTTGTACTATAAGTAGTCAACATGTCGACATTTGGCCTCCTTATTGGCCAAGTTTTCAACCTACCAATCACCTATAGACATGTATAAAGACAAAACAGTGTCTATGAAGCTTCTAGGAAGCTTTTCACAAGATATTATCATATTTATCTATTTTGACTTACTTCTACCTATTCTTAATATCTAGATAATTATCA